GTATATATTTTTATCTTTATTATATATATATATATATATATATATATATATATATATATATATATATAAGTATTTCTGATTCTGAATTAGAAATTTCAGGTTTTGAATCATCAACGTCCAAGAACGTCACCACAGCAGATAATTGCCTCATAAATTGAGGGGGGGGCAGTATTCTGCTTTAAGACCCCACCCCCAAATTGCCCAATCGCCCTCCTCTCTCAGTCACCTGATTCATGTGCTGCCATTTTACACACAAGTTTGACTGATTGAATAAGTGAGGGACAGGAATTGGCCTGTTTCTCAAATTAAAAAGAGATTTACTCAGTTTATTTATTGGTTTGTTTCAGTGAGCGAACTGAAAGAGACAAAGACTGCAGCCAGCGTGGGGTGCTGTGGAGATCAAAGAGGTGTTTGCGCATGGATTTGATTCTGGGGGGGGGGTCAACAATTAGAGGAGGGGGGGCGGATGGGGAGGAAAGGAGGATGCAGATTGGTGTGATTTCTTACGGGATGCCGGGCAGAACTCACCATTAATCACTGTCCGTTTTTAGATTAGTGACATTTCCGCGCTGGACGCACCCTGACCCCCCCCATCTGTTTCAGGCAGACCTCCCCTGACCACCATTGGAAGCCGGTTCCTCGTGCACATTTGTGACGGTCTTCTATTTTTTCCTTGTTCTCCTTTTTTTTTTTTTTCTTTTTGTCCGACGCATGAATTCTCCCACCGGATCCTCCTCGGTGTTCTCTGCAGCTCCTGTCCTCCTCCTCTTCCTCCTCCTCCTCCTCCTCCTCCTGACTCTCACAGAGGGCACTACCCTCCTCCCTACCACTAAAGACATTTCCATCGTCCTCCCCTGCTCCCCCCATCCGGACACGACCACCACCACCTCCTCCTCCTCCTCTTCCACTGTAACATGTCGGGACAGTCTTTGACGGACCGGATCGCCGCTGCGCAGCACAGCATGACCGGCTCTGCCATCAGCAAAGCCGTCTGCAAGGCCACGACGCATGAAGTCAGCGGACCCAAGAAGAAACACCTTGACTGTAGGTTGAAAGCATGCCATCACTGCTCCCATTCAATAGCCTGCATGCACCTTTTTTTCATCCTCTCTCTTCACAAAGGACAGCCTGTACAAACACCATCCCGCCGGGGTATGTCTGCAACCTGCCTTTATTTCAATAAGAATATGCGTCTAGGATGAGCCGTGGAAGCGCGCATGCAACAATGAGCCTGGGCAACATTTAAATAAAGGGGCACTATCTGGGCATGTCATTCCGGGGAAATAGGCCACTCTGGTTTGGGCTAATCACATTGCAACCAGCCGGTTTATAGTGCGGGGCCTATCCATTATTAACGCCACTATCATCAGCAGCGTGCATGCAGCAGTATATGCACCCCCCACCCTCCATCCTCCCCCCACTTCAGTACATAATGTGCATTATCGCGCAGCATCACCAAACATCTTCCTCTTCATTCCCACAACCGCGCATTCAAGTTCACAGCGGCTCCTCTGGGCTTTCATCATTAATGAATGTCCTGCTGTCAGTCCTCAGCGCACAATAGCGATACTACTGCTGGTGAGGAGGACACAAGACAAATGTACATTTTATTTATTACATATTTTTCATTATGTAACTTATTTAAAACAAAAAATAGCTAAAAAAAAAAATCACTTTTTAGTATGCACTGCAAAACCATCTAGAAATAAGTACAACATTTCTTAAAATAAGTGTATTTACCCTTAATTTTAGTAGGTAAATAAGACGATTTGCCAATGGAATCAGTATTTCTACTACTAAAATAAGATAATTAGATAATATTCACTTGAAAATAAGACAAAGCAATTGTTTTTTTCTTATTTTAAATGTAAATTGTCTTCCATTGGCAAGATGTCTCACTTATCTCCTCAATTCAAGACAAAATTCACTCAATTTAAGCAAATATAACTACAGATTTCCATTTTTTGCAGTGTGAATTTTATAGAAATGTCTAACACACCATCTCTAAATACTGAGTTATAGGAGTAAGAAAGAAGCAGTCACTTATAATTGATCTAAATATTTTCCAGTATATAAAAAGTCTCCTTAACCCAACCTGCTTAATTATGGCTTATTAAGACCTGAAAGCTGAATTTGTAGCAGTTTATCCATTGGGGGTATTCAGTAGGTTCTTTTAAGATCCTGAACGTCTACGTCTTTTGAGCACTACTGAAATGTACATTTTACTTGTATTATTGCTCAGATAAATAAAAAATAATCATAAAAAAGCCCCATATTATGAAAGTCCTTTTGTAAAAGGGTTTATAAAACTTTACATTGACACTACCATTACCAATTTGCAAGCCCATAGTGCTAAAAAATTCTTAATAAACGAGGAAAAAACTCTTGAAACTCTTAAATACTCGTTGATGGATGGTTATAACATATTACCAAGCGGAAAGTGGCACCATACATAAAGATTTCCTTTATATGGGGCTAAAAATAGTTGATATTATCAAAAAGCCTTAGATGTGTCTTTATATATAAGCAGCTTATTCAGTGTGAGGTTAAAATTGGTGATGTTAAACAGGCTTTAAGAAACAATAGCAGAGGAAACTTTTCTTTAAACAACAATTGTAAATGGCTGATAATTAGTCAATAATTTAGTTTTTAGTAAAGCTGTAAACATGTTGTAAAGAATTATTTGATTGTTTTAGTGCGTGAATTAAACATTGGAAATCATTCAGACCTTGGGAGAGAATCACTATTCGCAAAGACGAGCGTCTTGATATGCATCAGAGTTTGTGAAGTATTTTATAGTGTTATAAAGAATAAAAAATGTAGTTAATAATGTTATTTTAATCCTCTGTATGGTAAATATTAGATCTATATTACATATCTTTCGCCTTTTTGTTCAGGAGTAATCAGAACAGCAACTAAGAGAAGCATTCAGAGCAAAAAACGTTATAAAAATATTAGCATATATTTTAGATATTAAGGTCAAATAAAGAAACAAATGCTGAGTTGAAATTAGAATGAAAGTAGATAACACCTTCCAATCTTGATTTAATTGTATGTATAGGTAGTGTAAAATCTTACTGTATGTTGACTCACGGCGACTTTAATAATAAAGCGTTATAACAGCTCAAGTCTAGCTCAGCTCTTTTCACATTCACATCTGAGTCGTCGTAAAGCCGTTTTAACGCTGCAGTGTTTTTTTTGTAGCCTTACATATGCATTTTTTCTGTGTGTGTGTTAGAGCTGAAACTATTAATCAGATTAATTGATTATTGAAATAATCGTCAACTAATTTAGTAATCGATTAATCGTTAAATGGACTAAAGAGACTTTAAAATATGCCTTTAGCTGACAGAGAGACCCAATTAGAGCAGCAATTATATCAAACTTGTAAAAAAAATGTGGAACCATTTTTGCATTAAAGATACAACAACAAAAAAACATTTTTATCTGTCAACATGTTCTATCCAGAGCTCCATAAGTGAAAACATTTTATTTTCATCTGGTTTATATTCATAAAAAAAAAAATCCTCTTTCTGGAACTCTTTGCTATCCGATTATTAAGTGATTAATCAAAAAAAAAATCGACAGATTAATTGATTAGCAAAATAATCATTAGTTGCTCCCCTAGTGTGCGTACATATTCTAACAAATGTTAATGTTTGTGTTAATGATTCCCAAACAGAATCCATTTTTCAGAGTAGAATTATGCAGCGGGGCTGCTCAGTGAAGCCTGTTTGTTTGCATGTTCTCCCTGAGCATGTGTGGGTTCTCTCCAGGTACTCCGGCTTCCTCCCACAGTCCAAAAACATGACTGTTAGGTTAATTGGCTTCTCTAAATTCTCCTTAGCTGTGTGCGAATGGTTATTTGTCTCTATGTTGCCCTGCGATGGACTGGCGACCTGTCCAGGGTGGACCCCGCCTCTCGCCCATAGACAACTGGAGATAGGCACCAGCACACCTCATGACCCCACCTGGGATTAAGCGTGTCAGAATGGATGGAATTATGCCGCTAAAGTCAAACCAGAGATGGTCAGAAGCAAACCGGACTCCTTAAAAACACAAAATAGGCTTTTCATTTAGCACAAAAGCAAAGAACAAAAACAATCAGATTGAAATTTTAGCATATCAGCTACTTTTTGTGTGCAGCCCAGATTTACACCACAGGAGGTGCCTTTTCCTTTTTAGTAGTTGGTATACAAGCTTTACAGCTTTTTAAGTTTGTTTTATCATTTTTTTGTCTTTTAGCCTGCAGATGATGATGCCCTAGGCAGAAATACATAACATCTATAGATGTTTGACTGTAGCTGCTTTGTCCGTTTACCAGTGATCATAATTAGGTTAGGTAGCCTTTTCAAGGTTTTTTACGATCACTTGACATAATCGATAGAGAGCACATCTAATCAACGCAGCTGAGAGTCAGACCAAAGAAAAAAAAAAGAAAGAGTGAGATGGCTAATCTGGAGGAAAATGTGGATAAATCAGCCGGAGAGAGACACCATGAGGCAAGTAGCCAAACAGCCTGAGAGTCAGTCATCCAGCTGCATGCACAGCCAGTCAGCCGGCAACTCTGGCAGCACATTACTCAGTCATGTCCACAGCAGAGACATTGGGAATTGTGGGCCCCTTTAGGGAGCTTTGCCACCGGGCGTTCTAACATCTGTAATGCTTTGCCCCTATTTAAAAGTAAAAAACAAACAAAGAAAAACAAAAACTCACAAGAGTGTCTGAATATCATCAAAAATCATTAGTGCAACTGTAATGATTATTACTGCTTCTTTGATTTAATCAATGATCTAATTATGAAGGTTTAAAATGGGCTATTTGTTTGGAGGCGATAGTTTGTGCCTAGAAGCTGAAGATTTCAGCTGCATGCTTTGATTGCATGGATTCATTTCAATTGATGACTTCAAATAAACATTAAAATACATTTAAAAAAATCAGGCGAAGTACCTAATGTAATTAGATTCATTTCTGGAATATCTTCAAGCACTCTGTAGCTGTGCAGATAATAATTTGTAGAAGGCTGTCCGCTTCTGTGTCTGTCAGTAGTAGGAGGGCTCAGAAAATGAAAGCCTATTTTTACAGTTCCTGCAATGAATTTTATGTAGTTGCTCTCAAGGACAAAAACAGTTTCCCCAAGGTCTGAGGAGCCTGCAGGGGACTTTTATTGCGCTCTACTCCTGGTTTCATTAATCTGCACTAAATCACCTGTTTGTCTGTTTTGTACTTTGAGAGCCAGATAGTTTCTATTTCCAGCTGGAGAACCTGTGTCGTATAAGGCAGGGTTTAACATGCTGAGCGTGAAATGTTAAAGGTAGAAGGAAATGCATTCGTAAGGAGGAGGTCAGTGGTTCTGGAACTGGAACAGGCTGAGCAGACCTGGAAAGTAGAAGGAACAAAGAAGCAAACAAACTTCTGCAAAGGAGGCTATGATGAGTCATATGTGAGCCGCGTCAGGTCTGCATTTTCACTTACACCATACCCACACTCTCTCTGTTCAAGTTAGTAGGGTTTTTTTTTTCTTTTCTTCTGCACTGCCTGGTAAACAGTGTCATCCGAAGCAACACTTTATAATGGGAAACCTTGAAAAAGCTCTTGGAGGGAATAAAAATCACAAAAGTGAGACGAAACGAATGTAGAGAACAGAATTTAGTGCTGAAAGGATGGAAGCCATATTGGAAATAATATCTTATATTTATGCAGTGCATCCTTCTATAAATATCAGTAAAGTTGTTTTTTACATTTACACCAAGTGTGTGTGTATTAAGAGAAAGTATTCTTCAACATTTGTGGTCTAATACATGTAGACCAGAGCTGCAGGTCAACATTATGTAGGAAGAACAATGATGCTCCATAGAGAGGTTTTGTTTTCTGAGTCACTCTTCAAAATGAAAAATGAGGTCCAAAGTTCATTTCCCCAAGCTAATAGCTTTCATCAGAAGCATCAGAAACATTTGCTTTGGTTAGATAAAACTACATAGAGCTGTTCAGTACTAAACATGTTCAAAGAAACGTTTCCCATGCTGTTAGGTACTGTGGAGATC